AATACAACTTTGCGGCTAAACGTTGAGCATCTCCTCCCAAATGAATCCGCAGGGAGGTGAAAAATCCGTGGGTCACTGAATTTGATGGCGTCTCACTCGGAACGTGACCATCACGCATCGGCAATCGTAATCTCTGATTCCGCGTCCTCTCGGTGCGCGCGCTAGCTCCCCATCTCCACTCCTCGCTGGCGTGGCATCCGCACTACCTCTAGCGCGTCGCACTCCAGGTGCTCCACTGCCCGCTTGCACACCAGCACCAATCGCTGACCCGGCCTTGATCTCCAGCGCATTGCCTCGCGTTGCGGCCCACACCGCCGCCCTTCGCCCCTCCCTTCCGTTGTACCCCGCCCCGCATACATCCTCCCCGAGAAAGCTCTTCGAGACAGAGCTCATATACACGCTGTTGGAAGGAGCGATGTACGTCCGCTCTTCACGTCCCATCGACCCGTACTTGAGTCACAGCGCGTCGTCTGTGCCGCCCAGCTGCCGCTCCGTATACGCTCCAAGCCCCGAGCTCAGCTCCATTCCTAATGTCTATATCGCTCTTGTCCTGCTCTCGTGCTGGCTTGGCTCCCTCACGCCGATCACCTCCGTGCGCGTGGACTGCCGTCGGGCAGGAGAATCCTACAATACCTGCCGCAGCTGCGATTGGATCCCGAGACCGAGCGCCCAGGTTCTCTCTCCCTCGCGAGGCATGTCCGCTCTTCCTTCCTCCCCTCTCCTCTCTTCCCCTCATCTTCTTCCGGATCCGTGTTTCCTCGTGGCTGACAGTGCCTCTTCTTCTCCAGATAGTTAACTCACCCGACACGTCTACACGACTCTCCATGGGCCGCACGTTCATCCACCGCCTTGCGTCATCTATATCCCACTTGGTACGTCCTCCCATCCGCTTCATTTATTCATCTATGGCCCAGTATTGACTTCCCCCTACAGCTGCGTGTACGTGTGCAGCTGCACCACCCACTCGGCTCCTCGGCTCCTCGATCTGGTCGTGGGTGGGAGGAGGATGAGGATGGGCGGGGCGGGAGGAGGTGAAGACAGGGATATGTGTCGCGCCGGCAGTAAGTGGCGCGCGGGCGGAGGCGGTGGGAACGTCGTGGTGCTGTGTCACGCCGCTGGCAGAGCAGCAGGCGCAGGCGCAGGCGCAGACGCAAGCGCAGGTGTACGCGGGCGCGGCAGAGGTGATGGACGGCGGCGTCGAGCAGAGGTCGAGATGCGCTGGAGGCGCAGCCGCATCCGGAATCTATGCCAGGGCAATGACGCCGTGCGCGAGCCCGGGGAGCCGCTCAGCCTGCCTGCTACCTGCTGCTCGCTGGTGCGCGATGCGCTGACGTGTCTGCGGTCGATGCGCGGGGAGTAGGAGGAGCCGGAGATGGAGGCGGACGGGGGAGTGAGCGCCAGTGGAGCGTGCGTGTGGTGGAGGCTGTCACGCCGAGGTACGTCGCGGTGCAGGGCGGGCTGAGACGGTTGGTATGAGGATGGGAGTTCGAGTGCGAGTGCGAACCCGGGGAGCGGGCGATGCTGCTGGTGCGCGGGCGTGGGCATCTCGTGCGGTCGTTGTGTGGCACGAGCGTGGGCATTCAGAGTTGGAGGCGGAGGAGGGGGGCGCTCGCAAGCTGAGGCTGAAGCGCATGTCGACGCCGCCTGTGACTTCTCCCAATTCTTCCCGAGGATCGAGCGCCGTGCCGCCGCTCCCATACACGGGCCCGCCACCGTCGAATCGCCGCCCACGATACGCTGGAGCCCCGCTGCCTAATCTCGTCGACTCAACGGCGAGCAATGGATACACAAACCCACAACTTCTATACTCCACCCCCTCGCCCGTGGACCCCCGGGAATATGAATATGCACATGCTCCCACCGCGTACGCCCCGGCACCGCAGGGCTGCGACCTACAGGCGGCGCAAATGGACCCCGCAGCAAGGACCTTTACAATAATTCCCGTTACAACTGACTCGGATTCTGGGTGGAAAAACGACGCTCGTATTCGAGATGCTATTTAATTGCGGAGCCGGGATGTGAGGGTATTTCGTCTGTTCGAATCGAATTGGGCTTGGCTAACTTTCCTGTAGAACGCCCTGGAATATGGGTCGTGAGAACTCAGCCGAATTCCGCTAGGCTCAGAGGTTGGAGTCCATAGAAGAGTCAATTGTGATTACTGGTCTACTCATCTTAAGATCTTATACTATCTTTGATATATCTACATACGCAGGCAAGATACTTATCGAGATCCCTAATTTTCCCAAATTTCCTGAATCCGTATGTGATATAGTGCTCTTTCGGAGTCGTTGTATTTTCTTTTCACAGTTGTAGATTGCATAAAGATATACGCAGACAGATTGTGCGCCGACGTATCAGGATTCATCACACCACTCCCACCGCTTAAACCACCACACCCAAAACCAGCGCAGCACCAAGTACGATGACAGCTGCATTCCATCTCACTCCCGCCCCCAGCCCCGTGTTCGGATGGCCGCAGGCACTCGTCGTGCCGTTGCTCGTCCTGTGCACACACTCGAAAAAGCTGATGTTCGCCGTGGCGGGGAACGCCGCGTTGAAGGGACAGCCACACGTCTCGTTGATGAATCCCGCCGTGCTCCCGACGCTGGCGCAGCAAACTGTCAGAGCGGTCGCGTTGTTCACTACACAACCTGCGGGGTCGAAGGTAAAAAATAAATGACGGTTCGGGCGTCGGAAACGCGATAAATCGACATACCTGCGAACCCGCCGGTAATGGACCCGGAGTATCCTGGACGGAAGTCGCCAGCGTCGCAACCGGATGGGGTCGGGGATGCGGCGGAGGATGACGAGACCGGAGTGGCCATGCTACGAGCGAGAGTCGACTGTGGTGGGTGGAAGGAAGACAAGATGCGGGGGAAGCGCTCAGGGTGATTTACATAAGGCGCGACGACATGGACATGCGGGCACCAGTGATCCGACCAAAACAAGATGTGCGATGGGTCCTGGAAATTGGCGCTTATCGGGCGCTGCCTTGGGTCTCGTCCCAGTGAAAAGGTAAGCAGGGTTAGATACTCCCTGACTGAGTTGGATCCACCCTGCGCATATTCCTGCTCGAACTTCGTCTGGGATAAGAAAGTGAGAGCTGATGGCATCAACGATGTGCGGCAGTGCCGAGCGATGCCATCGTGATTAGCAATCACCTCCCGTCTTGCCTGCGTCTTGACGTCGACCAAGGCCGAAAGTGTTCGTTTGTCGGGAAACCATATATCGTCTTTACAAGGTAATCTGCACCCAAAATCGACGTCGTGGAGCAACTTTCCCTTGACCGAGGCAGTGGCTCTGCGACCGGACTTCCTCTCTCTGATTCCAATCTCAAATCACGCACCTGTCTCCCTCACATTCAGTTGCCCAAGACCTCATGATCTATCGCGGCTGTCTGGGCCCTGCGCCCGGACTGCTCGCGGAACTGCGGAGATACCGCTCAAATGGGTTGGGTACGTAGTGTCCGCTGTGCCTCCCGCGGACCTCGTTGGTGCGCAGAAACGTCGCTTTACATCCGGCTGAAGTTCATGTGATTGCGGGCGAGAGGCGAGGAAAGGGAACGATACATGAAGCCAGGGAGCGCCAAAATACTATTATGTAAGAGGTTTGAGCGCCAGGGAGGGTCATGGCAGACACCGCCAAGACAGACATGGCGGTTCTCTGCAAGGGGCGCCTTCCGCATTGGGATGTTGAAGGTCGTGGCGCGGCGCCGAATTCGGCCGAGCGGGGAATCGCCGGACCTGCCACGTGACTCATCTCCTCCTGCCACGACGCGCTCCTCTCGCCGACGAGGCGCGATATTTTATGGATTCCTGCTGCATTTCCGGGCCAAAATTCACCTGCCACTCGTCCTTCTACTTTCAAAGCTTCTTCCAAGACAATCTGCTGGATTCTAATGGGAAGCCGCCGTGGATCCCAGTGATTCAATAATGTGAACACCTGTCCTTTGAAGTTCGCAGGGGAAGGGTGGGTTCGAATCCCAGCGGCGGACTTTCACCTGTGTTAGATAGGTACGTTAACTCAGTCGTATCGGGGAAACGACTCCATTAATACGATGTACCTGTTAGATAGGTACATTAACTGGAGAGGATGATAAGTATGAGTAAACAGGAAGTAGTAAAACTCACCTCAGTCTTATCGGGGAAACGATTGAGGGAGGAATATGATGTGTAGTAATATATATATATGATACAAAGATAAGTAGTGCGTGCGCGCATCAGGCGAGCGCGCGCGCCATCAAGATATACGGGAGAAGATGGTGCCCGGAACCGAGGCAATCATAACAACCTGGAGAGTTGAAATTCGTTCTATACTCAAGGCCTCAAAAGGAGGGCATGGTCAAGCTCCTAGATTGAGAGGAAAGCATTGAGAGGAAAGCCGCCGTGGATCAGGGTGGATCGTCCTCCCCTATAGAGAGAAGGAAGCTTTAGATTGAGGAAAGGTGGGTTCTAGATCTTGCACGATTTTTTTTTTTCTCGTCCTTTCATTCAGACATTGCTCACAAGTTGTTAGACTCCCCCCCAATCAGACTTCCACCGGTAAAGCTCAGCTCCCTGAACATCCACATCTGATCCTGATTTTTGGCTGCGTTGGATTTTTAGATTTCGTTCTATCCGCAAGGCCACAATTTAAAGAGCAGGTTAGCATTGAGTACTGGGTTGTAGCAGAAAGCCGCTGTGGATCACGGTGGATCGTCCTCGCCCTATTATGACTATCTGTAAAGTTTAGATTGAGGAAGGGTGGGTTCGACTCCCACCGGTGGCATGATCCTGAGCCCCATTCGATTTTTTTCCACCTTATCCCTCCACGGCCCTCATCAAGTGAACCAGCTCGAGGAGGCAGCTGGACCGCTCCCCAAATCTTACATTCTTGATTTGCCTACCGAACATTCCTTAATCTGGCTCACCGAACATGTGTCTGTTCTCAAGACCAAGCCGGTTCGCTTTCCCTCTTTCTTCAAGGAGAGAGTATGATTGAGTTCCTAGATTGAGAGAACAGCCGCCGTGGATCACGGTGGATCGTCCTCCCTCCATTAGGAGATAGTATCGAAACTCTTTGCAGGGGAAGAAGTGGGTTCGACTCCTACCGGCGGCATTTTATTTTCTTCTTTTTCCTTTCCTAGTTCTCCTCCTGCCCTCGGTGAGTGATTCCAGCAAATTCACAGCTCGAGGCCGCAGCTCGAAGTTGGCGGGATCAGCTTCCCCCTCCCATATAATTAGTCTCACCGGCGAACATGCATCTGATCTGATCTGATCTCAAGTTGCGTGGCTTTCATTCTGTCTCCGGGACTAGGGTATTATAGAAAGGAAAGCCGCCGTGGGTCACGGTGATCATCCTCACTCTGCACGAAAATCTTTGCAGGGGGGAGAAGTGGGTTCGACTCCCGCCAGCGGCTTGCACCGACCGATGCTTTTTTATCTGCCATCCCTCCACGGCCCTGGGCGAGTCAATGCAGCTCGATATCTGCATCTCACCGCTCCCAGGTGGAGTGCCTCCCGTATCATTAGCCTAGCACCCATGCATTTGATCCTAAACTTCAACTGTGATTTTCGTCCTTTCTTCAAGAACAAGGTAATCGAGTTTCACTTTGTAGTGAGAAGCCGTCGTGGATCATAATCGTCCTCACTCCATTCGGTGCTGTATTGAAAATCTTTGATGGGGAAGAAGTCGCACCGGCGACATTCTTTGTCTATATGTACACCCTTTTTCGCTGGTCCCCGTTTTCTCTGCACTCTTTGTACAGAAGGATTTGGGACAGGGAAGTCTTACACGTTGAACCGGCAGAGATAGAGGTGCGGTGAATAGGTGAACCGTACGCAATGTGGGATACTGCATGCCAGTTTCAATGTGCGGGATATACATAAGTCAATGGATGTTGAGCGGTGCATATCATTTTCCCTGAGCATTGAGAAGTATGTATATAGATATCAAGATGCCCGGGATAAGAAAGCCGCTGTGGGTTAGTTGGAGATCGTCCTCTTGCTATGGCGCACCTGAGGACGGAGTGGATTTGATTCCCACTGGCGGGGTTACAATTTCCGAACAGTTTTGTTTTTTGGGCGTTTTTGTTTTGTGGGCAGCCCCGCGGGGCCCGGGGGAGGGATGTGGGTGCGGCGAATAGTTGAACTGGATGCTGCATCCCAGTTTCAATGTGCGGTACATACGTACATAACTCGAAGAATGTTAAGAGATTCTGGCTCCTCCATGAGAGATATATTAATACCAAGAAGCCCAAGATGAGAAAGCCACCGTGGATCAGTGGGAGATCGTCCTCGTTCAGTAAATTGATTAGTTGTATTGAGGAGGAAGAGGTGGGTTCGACTCCCACCGGTGGCATATGTCTGAACTCTTGGCGTTTTTTAACTCCCTACCCGCCCCTTTTTAGCTTTTCTCCCCGCATTATTGACACTTACATACTCCCACATCCGATTGAATTCAATCAACGCGCAGCTCGGCACGCTGACCGATATGTTTCATCCTCGGCAGCGTGCCGCCGATGACGTGACGCGTGTGACGCGTCTCCTGTGCATTGCATTCTCGCTGCTCGCCGTCACCGCCATGGACGACTTCAAGCCTCCCTCGACGTCGTCAGCCACGTCCTCGCCCGCCCTCTCCTCGCCGCCTACCGCCTCTCCCAGCCCCTCCCCGTCGCCGTCGCCGTCGCCCGCCATACCTTCGACACCGCCCGCCATCCCCTCGACAACCGTCACTGCCCCGCCCCCGTCCTCCACGACCCCCTCTGGCTCCCCCACCGCCGCCGCCCTCGCCTCCGCCAACGCCGGCTTCGACGCTCTCTTCGCCAACCAGATCGGCCCCGCCCGCGCCGCCTTCGCCGCAGACAGCACGCCGTTCCACGTGCTGGGGCTCGGCGTGTGCGCGTTCCTCGAGGCCGCGCTGGGGATGGAAAGCGGGCTCATGGGCGAGGCCGCGCGCCTCCTCACCCTCTCCGAGGCGGGCGCAAGAAAGGCGGCGGCGGACGCCAAAAAAGCCCGCGCTGCCCTCAAAGGAGGAGGGAAGGACAAGGGGCAGGGTGACGGTGGCGGCCGGTTCGCGCCGGGCTTGGAGTGGGAGATCCTGGGCGCGGACGCGGTGGTGCTCCTCGGGCTGACGCACGCGCTGAGCGAGTCGTACATGGGCTACTTCCAGTGCATGTACGCCCTCAACGCCGCGCACGGCAAGTTTACGAAGCTGTACAAGCAAGTGTTCCCAAGGGGCTTGGAGGGATATCGCACGCCGAATTCCAGTAGCGTGCCGAGTGCGAGTGCGAGTACGAGCACCATCGCGCTCTCGGCACCCTCCACCCCCTCCTCCCCCACACACTCCCTCGCCCCCTCCGCCTCCACTTCCGTGACCAAGTCCCTCTTCGGGCGGTGGGGCTCCAGCGCGAACAGCTCGGTGGTCTCGTTGTCCGCGTCCGCGGCGGCAGCAAAGGAGAAGGAGAAGGAGGAGCAGGAGAGGGAACTGGCGCGGCCCGCGGAGGGGCCCGTGGAGGAGATGATCGTCGCTGGGACTGCGTTCGGTGTGTGCTCTCGACTGCGAGTGAACGAATGGCGCTAACGGCTGGTGTGTGGGACAGGATTCGGCCTCTTCAACCTTGTGTTCTCGCTCCTCCCGAAGAAGGTGCAGTGAGTCGCGCGTTTCTCTTCTCATCTTCTCCCTCTGCTGTTTCGTCCGCCCATTCCATTCCAATCCAACCCCCTTCCCGATCTTACTCTCCTTCCTCGTCCACTTCGATTCGATTCGATTCCATCCGGTCCAGCCATTCGCATCCCATCTGATTCGCCTCGCCCTCCCTTGCGTTCTATTCCATCGCATCCGTTCTATTCCATCACATCGCATTCACATCTTACTGCATTCACATCCTACTGCATCTGCATCCGCATCGCATTGCATCGTTCTGATTCTTACACCCCCATCCATCCCCTCTATCACCCACATCTTCCGTCCTTCCCGGTCCCTTTCTATTTTATCGCATTCACATTCGCATTCACGTTCACATCCCATTCGCATCCCATCCCATCCCATTCGTATCCGCATCCCATCCCCACTCTCCTCCCATCATTCCATCTCCCGCATTCCATTCATCCCTTCTATTGCGTTCCATCCCCTCTATCCCCTCTATCCTCACACCGCTCTCTTGTATTGACCTCGTCATTTCTCACGTCATTCCACTTCGCTGAAGCGCGCGCTAACCCCCGCCCAGATCCCTCGTGGGCCTCCTCGGCTTCAAGCACGACCGCGCGCTCGCGCTGCAGGCGTTGGCGGTGCGTTCCTTTTCTCGTTCTTTCACTCCTTCTCTTGTTTCCTCGATTCCCTCCTCTTCCGCGATTTGCGACAGCTTTATTTGTTTCTTGCTTGGTGGTTAGATTCATTCCACTGGCGTTGACCCTCGATTCTCGATGATGCGGTGCGTGCGCGCCGGGTCTGTGCGCTGTGCACTCCGCGCTGCGCCCACCCCCGACTCGGCGGGCGCGCGCGCAGACTTGACGCATCTGTGTGCACTCGGTCTGTGCTGCGGCTCGCTTTCTGCGCGGTCTGTGCTCGATCTATTTTGGGAGTTTAGGCGGTCTGTTCGGGTGATTTCGGCGATTTCGGCGGTTTGGGCGATTCGGATCCTCTTCTGCGCTGGCGCGGGGACCCTCTTCTGCGCGGGTGGGTGGAGCGGATGGGGCGATCGTCGTGAAGTGGTCGTGCATAGGGCAGCGGCTCGACCCGTCGCTCGATGGGGTGGGACTCGATTTCGACTCGTTTGGTCGCCGGCGTTCATGCGGTCTGCGTGCGTTGTGCATTGTGCGGTGTGCGGTTTGCGGCGGAGACGACACATGTGCGGTCTGCGGTCTGCGGTCTGCTCTGTGGATCGGTCTGTTCAGACCGAGTCGGGTCCATTTCGCGGATCGACCCTCTTCTGCGTGGGTGGAGTCGAGTGGGGGCTCCGCGGTCCTCGGTGGAGTCGAGTCTGCGGCTGCACTCGGGCCCCGCGTAGCGTTTGTGTCCAGCGTGGTGCGTGGGCTGCGCGCTCACGCGATGGGACCCGCCGCATTGCCTGTTTCGATTTTGCTTCGAGTCGCGCGTTGGCGTTGATGGGTGATGGGCTTGGGGCGGCGGCGCGGCCCGTCGATCGTCGTCGGCGTTCGTCATTCGTCATTCTTATTCTGCGGCTGCGGCTGCGTTTGCGCAGCGTGGGTTCGTTCGGGATGCGTTTGTTTACTGGATCTGGATCAGTAATGTTGGGTTCTTGGCTATTTCTCTTTTGGCTGTGCTGTGGTTTTGGTTTTGGTCTTCGCGCCGAATTTCTACTCTCCGGTCTACAACTCAGTTATCCACCGACACTGACTTATTTTACTTTTGTTTCGGCAGGTCAGCGCAGGCGTGACGACGCTCGGCGAGGGCGTGGGCGTGGGCGCGTCGGGGCGTGACGTGCATGGTGTGTTTGCGGGGTGCGTTTCTGCGTTGCCTTTCCACTCCCCGTTATCCCTCTCCTCTCGCTCGCCTTTGTCTGGCACTCATTTAAATTATTTTTTAGACTCGTCCTAATGACCTTCCACGGCGTCGTGCTCCTGCTCGCGGGGTACCAGGCGGACGAGGCGCGCACGCTGCGGACGTACCGCGCGATTGTGGATTCGTGAGTACCTTTGTTTTGATTGATTGATTTTGGGTCGAGGTTGGGGAAGGAGAGATGCGTCTGCTGGTTTCCGGCGGAAAATCGTCGAGTCCTGCTGCGACGAGACGGTCTTGACGCCGGGAGAGTGCAGGACGAAGGACGGAGGACGGAGGACGGCGATTGATCGCTGATTGCTGACAATTCTTTGGTTGACAGGATCGAGGCGCGCTACCCGACAGGGGCGCTATGGATCCTGAATCGGGTGCGTCTGTTTGCTAGTTTTCCGATTTATTTTGGCACCGCGGTGGCTCGCTCCCCTCCTCTTCCTTCCATTCCTGTTCAATCTTCCCCTCCGCTTCGGCTACTCCGAGCACACTCCCGATCAAACATCCCCGGCGCTTCCGATAAACGCTCACTCCCTCCATCCCTTCGCGCTTATTATTCTACTTGACGTACGGACGAACGCTAACGCTGCCCCCACAGGCCAAGATCCTGCGCATGTCCAACGACGCGCAGGGCGCGATCGCGGTGCTGCAGCGCGCGCTCGAGGCGCCGCAGACGTTCGTGCAGGCGGATACGCTTGTGTGTCCCTTTTTTCCTTTTCGTAGGATGTATTTATTTATACGACTCCAGCTGGTCTTCGAGCTGGCGTGGACGCTGCTGGCGCAGCGCCGGCATCAGGAGGCGGCGGACGCGTTCGTGAGGCTTACGGAGCTTAATTCGTGGTGCGCCCCCTTCCTCATCCTCTCTTCCCCCGCCTCGTCGTAGCGCACGAATGCTGAGGTGGTTCTTGTTGTGTTTGATGCAGGTCGCACGCGACGTACTACTTCATCGCGGCGGGGTGCTACGTGTCGATGGGGAACCGCGCGAAGGCGCAGGAGCTGCTCGACGCGCTGCCGGAGCTGCTTGCGCGGAAGAAGATGGGGGGGAAGGATTTGCCGACGGAGGTGCTTATTCGGAAGAAGTGTGAGTCCTCCGGGTTCTTGACTTCTTTTTTGCTGGGATGGTGAGACTGACGGACGGGGGTCGACAGTGGAGTTCTACAAGGAGAAGCAGAAGAGGCGCGGCGGGGATCCGGCAAAGTTTGTGGAGTCTGTTAGTATTAGTCCGGCGGATGGTGCGTTTCTCATTCACTCCGTGTTGTGGGTCCGTCGTTGATTATTATTATTTTATTTTCGGGTAGAGCTGGCGATCTGTGAGTTGCCCGCCTCTCCTTTATTTCTGTGCCTGCTGAGATCGGGGAAATACAGTCTGGAACACACATCAGCGCATCGACGACCACGTTGCGGAGGCGCACATCGCGGAGCTGGCGGTCCTCACGCCGCCCGTGGCGCTCGCCGTCCACAGCCCGTTCCTTCCTGCCGTCGACGAGAAGCACGCGGTGTCTACGCTGGTGCGTTCACCCCCTTCCATACTCGTATACCCACGACTGACCGCTTGCAGCCCACCCACGACCTCGACACGCAGGACGAAAGCGCGCTGCGCGCGCTCCTGCTCGGCATCATGCACCGCACTTTGCGCCTCTACGGGCCCGCGCGCGCCTTGCTCGAGGCCGCGCGCGGCGCGCAGGGCGTCAAGGTCAGTACGTGGATCGCGGGCGTCGCGCTGTTTGAGCTGGCGGTCACGGACCTCAAGGAGGCGCAGGCGACGCTCAAGAGTGAGGATAGGGCGGGGTGGGTGGGGGTGCTGGCGGGGGCGGACACGAAGCTGGATGGGGCGCTGGGGATTGCGGGGA